TGATAAATTGTTGCGATAAGAATTAACAACCATCAACATGTATTTCGAGCTGTACTTTCACTCATAATTACTGAAGCGTTCGCCTCCGAAACGCAGGAGCAATCATAAGCGCTGTAAAATTTTGCGGTCTATGGTGAGCTGTTTTATAAATGCGTGCCATATCAGAGAATGACCACAAAAGGATCGTTGCGCAGATATGGGGATCCATCCGGTGATCTAAGGTGCCAAGCGCCGTCCTCTAACACCATGTTGAACGAGCAAACCATTCAAAAACCGCTGCCAACCGCGAGCGTTTCCACATCCCAATGACGCCACTAAAAATGGGTGAGGAAAGTGGATGTCTTTCTTAGTTGGCGTCCGCATTGATAAGTTGGTTACCTGTCCAAAAGATCATAAATTCCAACGTTGTCACCCACCATCTTTCTCAGCGAATCTTTCGACAACTAGTGCATGGTGGACTTTTGCCCCAGTGTCTCGGCGGTTGCGGCCAACCTGCTATGGATAGATAATGTCAGTTCAACACTTTGATGTCAAGCGAGAGGGAGGCGACTTCGAACAGATCCTCACCGTCCCTTACGTACATTTCTGATCGAAAAGTGCGGCGTGCTCACCCCACTTGTATAGCACCTAAATATCTATACTGGTTGTCTACTGACTTTCAATTAATAGCAAAACGTAAATTTATACCTAAAACATTCTCAACAACAAATATTAGGACATTAAAGACTTGCTGCCTCGTTCGGCAACTATATCATCCAAAAGAACGCTACTTATGAGAAACAGAAAAGGTGCTACTGGGGATTGACAAGTTCGTTTAAGCAAAGTCTCTGATGAGCCAGAACTCCTAGATAATGTTAGTAAAGAGGAGGCAGAAAAAACAATTCCATGGACAGTTTACTAGAACCGCTACGATGCAGGTGGACTAGACAACATAGATGTTCGAGAACATCCTTCATATTATATTAAAGCGCTACTTTGGTGTCGGTTTGTGTATCGTATGTTGTGTGTTGTGCGTGTGTGTGTGATGTGCTTGTTATGTCATGTGTCCGTCCGCAAAAATGAACGTGAGAGTGAGAAGTGAACTCCATGCGGAAAACAACCGATAACAGATGGGGTACGCTTACGGATTTTGAGATATCAATGTTTGTACGCAGGATAGTCTGTGATAACTCTTAGGGCTATACTAAAACACGCTGCTAGCACACTTCCGTTCATTCCACAGGGTGCTGCAAGGGCGCTTGGAGGGCAGCCGAAGAGAGAAGGGAGGATGAGAAAGGGAACGAAAAATCTTACGTCCTAATCATGGATTGTGTCCCTTCTATGTATGAACACATTGTGTTTGCATACGCGTCTCCACTTCCAGGAAGTGTTGGGATCACAGGAGGAAGGGCCATGAGCGGAGGATAGGAAAGCATCTGCGCATGGAAAGGAAGGTCCCGGCGTTGACGGGGGATCATTCTGTTGATCCACATAATGGATGAACGGAGATCATAAAGTAACGAGATTCTTTGATTAGATACCGGAACCACTCAATACTGCGCACTACTCAGTGCACAGCGCGGTACAGCAACAACAACCAATAGATAAACGAGAAATGAGCTTATACATCTGATAGTGACGTTAAAAGGAGTGTGTGTGGACTGTTATGACTGGACTCTTATGATGTGTGGACTGCACTCGATTTTCTCCTCGTCGTCCGAAATAGAGTATACCTGCTGGAGTGGAGCTTCGACGACCTTCACTCTTGTATGGGCCTCTAGAACAGGGTGAATAACGATCGAGGAAATCCTCGACAGGGGGTCGTATTTGCTCAGATGAGAGTTGGGAGGGGGTCGTAATCAAACGGTTCGTCAACGGACACAACGGTGCTGCTGCCATTTATTTGCTGTCGTCATTTGTTTCACAAGTGTTGTACTTAGCCTAATGCAAATAACATCTTACAAGTGGTTGTTGGTTTGGTTCGTAGTGATCAGTATGGCATAGAACGCGTCCTGCAAAAGAATCGTAGATGAAGGGCAGCGAGTATCTACTCTAGAATGATGTACATGTTTCGAAAACCTGGTGGAGGAATAGCATCTTGTTAGAAAGTTCAAAACACGCAGATTCGCAGCCTTCTTGGCATCATCAGATCTTGCAACCGCAAGCGTGTCATACACCAGAGCGGGTTGGAAATAAAGCGATTTGAATAAAGGAATGATTAGACATCATTATGACCACAAAAGTTATCCTAATTAGTTAACGCTGGAAACATCTTTTGGTATGATTAAGCAAGTCGTCACTAGGACAAAACATCTTCCCAATGACTCCGAGTGGGGTCACTGCATGGCGCATACAAAAACGGAATGGATCCGCGCCAAGTGCATCATTTTCAATTTACTCCATCAAACTGACGCTTACAGAAGTATTTTGAAGGTGTTCAAAGAAGTTCCCTACTACTGCAAGGGAGTAATAAAATTTTCAAGTGGCTTTGAAAATTTCCTTGACATTTCCTCGACGCAGATTTCTCGCGAACTAGAAAGCGTTTGAAACAACTGGAGCACCTATCAGAAAGCGTGAAGCTTCTACTTCACAAGCTGTTCTCCGATTTTGAAAGCATTGCCAATGAAGACAGCCACCGCCTTTCAAAGAGTGGGAACTCGCATGTGAATTTCAATTTCCTCGACAATTTCTCGACGTTTTCCACTCTCGAGAATAGGCGTGCTTACAAAAACGCTCAGCACAACTTCGAAACTAGAAGTCTCGCGCATTCAGAAGCTGCCTTCGCTTTCTGAAACGGTTATCAATGAAGAAAGTTATAGTCCTTTGAATAGGGGGTACATTTGACGTTTTTCCAACTAGCGCGCTCTAGGCACAGCGCGCGACGCGATCGCGGTAGTTAGCGCCGCTATACTGGAGCGCGAGACTGCTCAACTGTGTAGCCTGCACCTCCTTCAATGTTCTACTTTCCGGTCAATGTGGCAAAGATTTAATGTCTCTAGAGGAAAGAAGGAACCTAATCTGAGCATATTTGAATCTAGCATTTGAATCAAGCAGCATTTGCGTGGCAGCGGCGCTGCGTCCCTCTCGCTCATCTAAAGCTAGCATTTTTTGACATGAAAACGGATGTGCAGAGACAAAAAGGGGTCGTATCAGAGTCCATGTTTTGGAGGGGGTCGCAAAGAGGCGGTTATTTCCTCGACACGCTTTTCACCCTGCTCTAGAATAATATAAAAGAAAATGAGAATTTTGACTACAGCTACTTCTCAACCATTTATCTCCACGATTACTAGCTTTCCTCTTCTTAACTCTTCTTAAATGGTTTCAATCACTGCGACAATATTGCACACAGACTGTGCAGAATGCGAAGTAGGTTTAGCGACGAGTTTTGAATCAGGTGATTCAATAATTCTTTGGCCTCTTGTCTGCCTTCTTCCCTATATTCTTTTTCTGACTACTTTCGAATGGCTTTCACTATCAAGTAGTATATTTGAGAAAGCTCATTATACAAAGTTGATCATTGTTGGATTCCGTCACAATTTGCCCTTTTTGAATTCATGAACTAGTTCACATTCCTGGAAGCCTCAGTAACTATGGAGGCTGAAGAAATAATTTTCTTTCGTTCCTGCTAGAATTGATCGCAATTGGCATAAAACTCAAGTTTTTATAAACTTGTCCAGAAATGGCCAAAAGTTTTCGATTGTAGGTTCGGCGAACAGTGGGTGAACAGTATCTTTTGAAATCTTTTTAGTACCCGGAGTTGTTGTTCTATTTCATAATAAGTGATTGAGAGGATAATTCAAAGTTAATCAAGTTTACAAGGACATCGCCCCCGCCCTCTAGTACAAATCCGCACCCCAGCACGCTCAAATAGGTTACGGCAACAGAAACTCATCGGACTGTCTAAACCGTCTTGTCCGGGTAACCGCCCTATTCTGTCGATGTTGTTTTTGTTGTCAACACACAGAACTCCCCCTACCCCATGCCCTCAGAAAAACATTTGGGAAGGACTTCCCTATTTTTTTTCTATTTCTTTCTATTAATCTACCTTATTTCTTTCCTATCGGAGCACTCGGAAGCAAAAGTTCGCAAACGCTGATTCAGACGTCTTAGACCAATTTTAGGTTCAGCGGTGAACTAGTATAGTTGCATGCGACCTTATGTACCCTCGATTCCGGAAGACGAGAAGAAAATCAAGTGCAGACCACACATCATAAGACGACGGCTAAGGAAAAAAGCCGCTTTTCTCTTAGCCGTCGTCTCTTATGATGTGTGGACTGCACTCGATTTTCTTCTCGACTTCCGAAATAGAGTATACCTGCTGGAGTGCAGCTTCGACGACCTTCACTCTTGTATGGGCCTCTAGAATAATATAAAAGAAAATGAGAATTCTGACCACAGCTACTTCTCAACCACTTATCTCCACGATTACTAGCTGGTCCGCTGGAAATCAACGATTCACCTCGTGCAGATGCGCAGTATCTCCACTCACACTACACAACGGCACATATGATGGAGTATCTAAATTCTACACAGTTGCGCACACATAACCCACGAGCGCGTGGTGTGTGAAAGCGACTCTGAGCGAACGTCGCTTCAGTTCACAAAAAAACCAGAATTGCGACAAAGAGCGCCACACATTAAATACCTAAATAAAAACACACATAACAAAAAACCCTCCATTATTTAAGCCACATCTTTGGTGTGACGGTTCGTTTGTGTGTATGTGTAAGTTTGTCTGTCTGTCTGTCCGCTAAATGAAGGCCGCTCATAAAAGCCTTATAGAGGCATAAAAAAGATTTATTGAACATAGTGGATATAGGGCGTCTGCCCGAACAAGTCAAAACCCCTAAATTTTCGAAATCATTAATACAGAAGAGCTACTCAAGCTGCTCAACTACAAACATCGTGAAATAATCAATCAATGGAAAATAAGTCCAGCTGGAGGAGGACCCATTAATGAACAAAGAGGAAATTTCAGAAAAGCAGATCAACAACCGTAACGACATGGATAGCGAATAAACTCAAATAATGACTGGCAACTTTGGATCGGGGGGTACGAGGCCAAGAGATTGTAGAACGATCTGAAAATAGAGAAAAAATTTGATGATGGTCTTTGTGACTACATGATCGCGGACATCATGAAATATCGTCGAAGTGTGGGACCAATAAGGAAAGGCTTCCAGGTCGCCATGGCCATTAAGAAATTATGCATGTGCATAGATGCGAATTCGAACGTCTCAGCAGAACTGTGGTGCTTTAAAAATAGGCGCTCGAAACGGTGGATACATTTCGACCGAACTAATACTAGAAGATGTTGTGTACCCGTGCGCATGGCGATAGCACGGTGCGAAGTTTGCCTTCCATCAAAGACAGGCTCCGGGAATAGTTACGCTCACCTATTCCGGCGTAGTAGGCTGGTGGACAAGCATTTATGTCGCGCTCAATTTGCGGCTAGAAATCGTCGACAAAGGCGCTAAAAGCTCGTCCGACCCGCAACTCACACCTTTGTCCGCAAGCCCCGCCTTCCGCTCTCGGTTGCCTTGTGTTTGAGAAACGCGGGCGCAGTTACGGCAGCAGTTTCATCGCGGTTCAATGTCATAGCCACTGGAGTAACTGGAGCCGAACTCGTGAAACCCGTCCAACTCTCGTCTCACCCAACTTAAGTATTTTATCAGAAAGGATTTGCAGTCTCCGCAGTATATGGAAATTTGAGCAGAATTCATAAAGATGAATGAGTTATAGCCAAGGGCAAAAATGTTTCCCCAATTTTCCCGAATTGACTTTATGCGTAAAAGACAACCACAAATCTGAAGGTCGAGACCTTTCACCACATTCAGGCCCCACCCTGCACTTGATGCTCTTTGATGCGCTGCAAGTTGAATGGGGACCGATTGAGATTCGTGGATTGGAAAAGCCCGATCTCTCACATTCACAACTGGTCAATCTTCCACTTCTTTCCAAATCACGCCAAGATATTTCCTTGGAAAACATTCAAGAGAGAGCGAGATTAACCGCTGAAATGTGTGAACATGAGCTTGAGCTTCAACAGCAATCAGAAGAGCGGAATATGTGAAAGCTAAGGGAATGGGTTGTATCAAGGGGAAGCTGAACACATTGGGATTTATCACTCTCTCAACATTAAATGCTCGCGGTACTCTCGTCAATCCTCTGTGAAATGCATTACGTTCATGCTCACAATTCATATCATAGTGCCATAGCTCTCAAGTATTCTGTAAATTTTTTGGACTAAAGTCAGTCCCATCCGGAGCCTTGTACAAGTAACGGTTACTCTGTCTCGATTCTCTTCCAACAGCATCACTTAGGCACGGCACAATATTGAGAATACAGGCGATAATCTTTTAAAACTAAAATGCAACCTTGAATCGAATGTCATACGGTGCAAAAGGCCTGAGAAAGCCTGCTCTCACCCACTGATTAAACCTTAGCTCAGCTTGACCTTTTAAAGACCTTAATCGGTGCTCATAAAAACGGCACTGGCGTAGGTTCTAGAAAATTAAATAGCCACGAAGGGCAGCGTGTAAATAAGTTGGCTAACTGCTTAGGCAGGCCAATAGATGCTGCTTCGCAAAGCCCGTTTCATCCCTACCACTTTTTTCCAGAAATTTTCACACGATAAATGTGAAGTGTAAGCACAGAAAAAATGAAGTAATAGTCAATTGATCAATAAAAAACCATACCTGACATGCTACAGACTTCGCGTCCTTTTTACTGCGAGTGACGACATTCGATTGATATTCTTTACCATTTACAACGGCCTTCAATTTCAAGCTCAATCTACCCCAGCAAACTTCAAAACCTGTTTTATCGCATTAAAATTCCAATCCTCACCGTGCACCGGAATTCCCGATTATTTGATGGGCCGTTTTCATGATGTATGAAGGATGGTGCTGACCACTTACGCTTAGCACATAATTCCATGAGCATTGAAACTGGATGCTTTGTGACTGAAAAAATAGACAAGCAGTACCAGCGAACACAGGCATAAAAGAAAATAGTCAATAATATAAAATTTGAAAAGGAATAGGCTCATGCCAACCTGAGACATCATTTTTGGACTGCGTTATTTTGAAGTCTTCTTGCGCGATCAGACCTGAAGCACGATCATTAGTTTTTCATATTTAACACATTGGCGACAATGGCACCCGACGTCGGGCGACACCATTTCTGCCGCGTGGGACGATGGCACCCGATGTCGGGCGACACCCCAACTTATTGGAATGCTTATATTTTTTTTCCTTTCTTCTGATTACTTCTGCATCTGTAAGGTAATATTCATTTGCCTCAGATTTTTCACATGATATCGTTTTACTACATTTCAAAAATAACACAAAGCGTAATATGACGCAACAAGCAGTTGAGATTTGTCCCAAAATTTGTGGCGCGTTTGGAAGTATTCAATAGGGAAGAAGCCCCCACAAGTACTACATCGAGTTCCCACTTTTCTATATGTGATCTAATATAGTAACTACCATGTTCGTCGGAAAGCATGCTATAGCAGCCTGGACAACATCTGCTGTCTCAGCAGCATCATTATAAAGTCCATATTCTCTATCAAAGAAGGTTTGATCTCGCATAACATCGGCCCGCAGATCGGCTTTGATTCGTCGCTTTTCCTTGCCTGTTCAAAACGTCGTCTTCATTCGGGTTAATAAACCCCCGTACAACAACCCCCGTAGCCTCTCAAGTTGCACACTTTCGTGGCCAAATTTGCACCAGTTGAAGCCATTTCGGCGCCGCAAATGTCGAGTCCGTGACCAGGGTCTTATTCGTGTTCAGCGGAGGGAATAACTACCACATATAGGTGTTTGCCGAATTTGACAAGGGAAATATCGTGGTGCCAAGATAGCGTCAATTAGGAGGAAAACTGGTGCCAAATGGCGCGAGCGCTCCTAATCTATGCCATATTCGTGATCAGCGCATTAAATTTGCTATGTTGACAAACCGTTGCAAGAAAAATACATGCCGGTTTTTCGTGGCCCCACACGGCAGACACCCTTAAATACGCTTGTTCGCCAACGCGTTAAGCCGCCCGCACAGGTCAAATAATTATTATGCTCAAACGTTGCACAGCGTAGAAGCTTGCAAATGGCTTGACAAAAAATATAAGAAGGAATAGAGAACTCAAAATGAAGTTATTATTAAAGGAGACAAATATGATGTTGACACAGATAAGGTAAGCGTAACAGCACCTTTCCTATCATTTTTCACATCCAGTAGCAACGGTTCCAAATGACCCATACCATCTGGGCCTAGGCCTTCACCAGGCCTCCAGCCCATTTTTTGCATCAGTCGCATGCCCACTCCACCGACAGCAGGACGCGTATTTTTGAACATGTCCTAGAAACCTCATTTCACGCATTCAATATATTATCAACAACAAGAATAGTTGTACAGTCCATATCTTGATATCAGATTAGGCGTGTGTGTGGATTTTGACCGTCGCCGCACTTGATAGAAGCCGTGGAGGTAAGCTGCTTCTAACATACCCGCTGGATATCAGCCAAGCATGCTGGAAGCAATTTATCTGCGCAAGTACGGCGGCCGTCACGTCAAACCCGTAGACACGCCTAATAAGACTTCGGGATATGGAGTATACAAATACAATCGAAGTAGAACAAAAATGAAATCCACGCATTGTCCTACACTCCGACAGGTCCGTGATCAACTTGAACACTAGATCTGAAACAAAGAAACACCGCAAGTTTGTCAACTTCAACCAAACGAGCGAGTCCAATGAATCAACTACTGCTTGCAATAAAGTACTTAACGTCCTCCTTGAAAGTACGCGGGAGTTCTAAACTTCAAATTTAATTCAAGGAATGTGATCAAATGCGAAATGTGAAAGTGGGTTAAAAAGTTTAAGCAGACCATATACCCTTCTTTTCAAAAAGCGAGAAAGTGTCGAGTGCAGATCATGCACCACAAGTGAAGACGCCTTCACAAAATGTTAATGCTTTCTGCCAATTAAATTATCAGCCTGTTACAGTTGTATTCTATCGATTGTCATTATAGTACTCACAGTTCTTACCAGAAATCAGCTACCACTATGAACATCTTCAAACCAGATTTACTTGGAGGCGGTCGTCAGCTGCGGTGTGTGGTGTGCACCCGACAATTTCTCGCTTTTGAAAGAGAGGTTATGTGTTGCACACTCGCATTTTTCTCAGAAAGTTAAGCGATTAACACTTTGATGACATCGTGGGTATTGGCTTGTTGACCATGTGGACCGGCGCGATTTTGCGAGCGCAGCCGCCTCAAGTCATTCGAGCGAATTTTGGCGGTGAAAACACAAAAATGACTTATAGAAAATTAAATAAGCAATTGCAATGGGTAGAGCCTACTCAGTGGCACTACAGTAGTGGAAATCCGATCGTGACGGAGAGATGGTGTTGTATTAGGAGACAATGCTTTGCAGATCTTTGGATAATGCAGACGAGCAAGCCAGACACAATTTTTGTCTATCATGAAAAGTGTTCAGAAGGTTTATTCTACCCAAGTTCCAGCCTTTTGTAATGGCTTGGTGGATCGGTAAGTGACTGCACAGATTTTCAAAATCAGGTCAAAATTCCAAAATTCGCTAGAAGTTTGCTTAAAGGGAGAGTCTGGCTCCCTGATTACGAAGCACTTTTGCTTCGAACAAGTAACAAGAGAAGAGTTCAGCAGATGAGGAACACATATTTGAGCTCAGCGTTCCAAGGCGCGTAAACACATATACATCTCAGTTCAATTGGCCGGCTTGACGAAATGACTTTTCCTGGTGAGCTGCAGATGAAGCAAAAAGCAATTTTACCTTGTTTTGATCAGACAGATATATTTTGTCATCCCTTAGGGGTTCCGTATTTAATTCTACTGAACTTCTATTCTTCACATCCATGAAAGGAAAAAGGAAACGAAAAACTAACTAAAATGAAGACTCCTTGGCGAGGTTAAGAATCCCTCTTAATTCATGCACACGTGACCATTTTGTGGGCCAGTACATATTGATAGCTATAACAATGTTCCTTCCCATAGAATAAATACAAAAAAATTCAAATAGGAATCGTGCGTATGCGGAAAAAACGAATGTTGTGGTGCAGAACGCATCCGTTCCGCGCTGTCCGTCATGGCCTGCAAATTGAGGGACGTATGTGCCCTGCGCTGTCGTCAACGTACCTGCGACGCATAATTATAGTTCCACCTACAAATTTCCCAAAAAATTGTATATGAAGATTTTTTTCGAAAAAGTTTTCAGTGAGGAATTGTAAGGCATATCAATGCTGTTCTGAATATCAATACAGAATTGCAGTTCGAGAAAGCAACAATTTTTTATGCTTACTTTTCTGAAAATACTCGCTCTGTCAATGGCGCAGAGTTATAGTCCCACCACGTGTTTCTCCGCTGCACTTTATTTTTTCCCAATCAATTTTGAGATTATTATCCCAATAGGGCACATAGGTCATTGCAAAAGCGAAACCGCCCCATGAATCTTGTTAAAGGAAAATTCTAGCAAAAGAAGCACATCGATTGCCGAAGTGTCAGTTCGCGCTTAAAATTGGTCAGGGTCACTTCATACCGGACAATTTCTTCGAGAATCCAACAGTAGTATATGATATTGTGAGGAATACTGATTACTATCTGGTCGAGATAAGCGCCGTATCATAAGAAACGAATACAACTTTATCAAGAAAATACGAAATATGATTTATGTCAAGAAGTCATGCAGAAAACCGAGCCATTTTCCTTGGGAAATTCCGCAAAGTCAGGGAAAATGGCTCGTTTTTCTGCATGACTTCTTGTCATAAAAATCATATTTCGTATTTTCACATGGACTATCATGAGAGCTTTGGGAAACACGTTGAATTGCGTTCACTGAGACATCAACTTTTAGAGAAGTTTTGATTTCCGTACTCAGCTTGATGAAGTTGTATTCTTTTCTTATGATACGGCGCCCATCTCGGGTCAGATAGTAGTCAGTATTCCTTACAATATCATATACTGTAGGATTCTCGACGAAATTGTCCATTATGAAGTGACCCTGACCAATTTTAAGCGCGAACTGACACTTCGGCAATTGATGTGCTTCTTTTGCTGAAATTTTCCTTTAACAAGAATCTGGTAGCGGTTTCGCTTTTGCAATGACCAATGTGACCTATTGGGATAATAATCTCGAAATTTGATTGGAGAAAAATAAAGTGCAGCGGAGAAACGCGTGGTGGGACTATATTTCTGCGCCATTGACAGAGCGAGTATTTTCAGAAAAATGATAATGAAAAATTGTTGCTTTCTCGAACTGGAATTCTGTATTGATATTCAGAACAGCATTTATATGCCTCACAATTCCTCACTGGAACCTTTTTCGAAGACATCATCATATACAAATTTTGGGAAATTTGTAGGTGGAACTATAATTATGCGTCGCAGTGTATTTATGTTTCATCTCACCTATGTAATGAGATACTGTGGCAAAAATATGTTTATCCCATAACCTCACGAGCACAATCGCATCGTGGTCATAGCGGAATCGCAGAATGACACGATAGACACGTAATAACCTGGACGCGAACTGCAACCGGATTGCAAGGAGCTTTTCATCATTACTGCTGTCTAGGGGCGTGAGTGGAAACGGTGTTGGAGGCAGTCCACTGTGTTCTGCGGATCTAACGATAAGAATAAATGTGAAGCTAACCAGGAAGTCTTAGCGCTCGCAAGCTGTGCAAATGGTTGCGCCTGCCTTGCGACCCTAAGCTCAAAACTGCCTTCCGTATCTGCTTAACAATTCTTTGGACGGAGTTGAAAGGGGAAGCCGGGCGGAAGTGCCAAGGTCGTCAGCAAAAAGTCGTGGGACGCTTCCTTGCACAACCTATCCTTTTGCCTTCTCATAATAGTGCTTAAGAGCTTCTAACCGGGCTACTTCATCAACGCTCGGCATTAATTGCCTGGATGAAAAGCTTATGAGCAGTTCCTTGCAGATTTGGGCCCTACTGCTCGTGGCTGTCCCAGCCCGTAGCGCATTTGTCAGGTTTATTCGTGAAAATAGTTGTGATTTTCATGTAGACGACCAAACTACCCCTGAAGACCTATTCTTGCTCTTGAAAAATGGGTGAATTACCTACAAGTAATCATCGTACGGCAGACATATCGTCGAACTCTTGGACTGTAACGTTCATACAGCTATGATTCTAGAAAGAACTAGGATCATGCTAACAGATGCGCAACATCGAAATGGTTTCTAATGCTTCGTATCCAAATGTAGAGGGGGTGCTTCCAACAGTTCTTCCTTTAGATAACACCTACGTGCGCCTGCTGTGGCTTGATGACTGCCCACTTCCTCGACGTTGAACCGAAAGATTCAGATTCAGCTAGAAACTTGCTTCCTAAGATATTCTGACCACCTGAATGCGAATATCACATTTATTTCCTGCAAAAACGCTAGGCGCCTGCTAGGCGTCGTGGGCAGCCGTGGGCGTAGTGGCCAATACTACAACCAGCTGCTGCTCGCGAACTCTTCATACGTGCAACTAAGGGTGGGCTTTCCGGAATAACGTCTCTATGAGCCTTTCAAGTCACATAAAAAAGCAAGACATGAAAACCACGAAGCAGCGATCTCTTGAACTTTTGCTGGCCAGATCGGAGCGCTACCTCCTACACCATGGCACATCCACACCTCGCTTTGTTCATGAGGGTGCCCAATGCGAAAGACAGCGTTGAGCAGGTGACTCCCGTGACTCCGTTCGAAGCATCCTTACCCAAAATGGAGAGCAGTTTCTAACTCATCGACTCAAGACGAATACGTGGGTCTACTCTGTAAATGGCCGGTTATGAAGTATTCTGCAAATAGCATTCTAGCGCTAGGGAGAAAAACTCGATTACGTGTTCATGGAAGCTTTAAAAAAAACGGTGAAGCGCCTTACGTAATCGACATCCTATCCACTTCTCTGCACAAGAGTGGATCACCCACTGCGGAGTTTTTCGCAACCGTGTCCATCCTCTTTTGTCCCTAGCCAAGAGTATTCGGCTCATGGCTTAAGATCGAATCTTCGTGCCATTCCAGGATGATTCAACCAGGCCTTACAAAAGCTACTTCGGTCGGAAGTGTTATCTAGGTCTTCTTTTTTGCACTGCCATCCCCCATTTCGATTATTCACATTTGAAGTATTTAACATTTTTGACAAAAACCGTTGAAGTGTCTCGCACTATCGACATCTCATCCATCTCATTGCACACACTGACCATGAGTGGTCCACCCATTTTGGAGTCCTTTGCACCCGTCCCTCTTCCTCTGTGCCTAGGCAAGAATATTCGGCTTTTGGCTTGAGATCGACTTCGCGCCATTCCAGGCCGATTCAGCCAGTCCT